CATGGAAACAGAAAAGGATGCTCAGGACAGGCTTCGCTGGAGTAATGCTGTTGATGGTCTGTGCTCCACTGGGAGGTAAAAAGGGCAAGAGAGAGTGAGCCTAAAACGGGTTTTGAAAAAATAATATGGGAATTCCAGCACACTCAAAAATAAAAGTTGACATATTTTCCTCTACACCACTCTTTAACGTTCACCTGAGGAACACAATTCAAGAGAAGGAGTGAATAATTTTCGAAACTTAAGTGTAGACGTCTAGACAGCCGGGGGGATGGAATCAACAAGCTTACCCTGAAATATGGGGACCAGGTGGTGTCGCTGGCTCAAAATGAGCAATTTGGTAGCCAGATTACTGTAAATCATTTACTTTAGTGATCCTATGTATGCATCCAAAGAGCGGCTTTAAGTATTGGGCCCAGAAAGAAAATATTTCTTACTAGATCAAGATTTTTTAATAAATAAATTTTTGTTTAGTCGCTGGCCTGAATAAGTGCCATGAAAAGTTTCATGTAGGTAAGTTCCTCAATGAGTGAGCAAGAATTGTTTTCATGCTGTCAGACGAAAGTGAACAAGCTATAACATTCTGGGTCTATAGGCTACGCTCTGCCTCTTTTGCCTTCTATTTTTCCTGTGAGAGCAAGATGTTCAAGGCCTCCTATATGACGTCCATTCAAGTGTCCCTGGAGCATTTGTCGCTTTCTGGTTGTTTTCACCAGTGAGCGACCCACTCAGGCCTCTTTCAGTTCTGCCTTATTTGATTTATTTTCCTTATCCTTCTTTGTAATTCTCAAGTCTCTTAGGTACGAATGCCCATTGATCAAATGTATGATATGATCAGAGCAGGTCAGGTCGGGTAACGGTAAAGGTCCTAGCCATTCCCATTTCTCACTAGGCTATAGTACAGATCATCAATTCGACCTCTGCTGAGCCTATGGCATTCCATTGATATTTCTTCTCTTCTGTCTATTGCTGTGTTTGTGAAGTATTTCTAGTCATTTTATGTCCGAAGTTGTGTTTTTGCTTGCATTCTCTTTTATTCTATTTCAGAGACATAAGAAGTGTCCATTCAATGGAAAGAAATCAGGCTTTGAAATGAAGGAAAAAGATATGCAACGACAAAACGGTACATGTTTAATTTTTGTTATGTTCATTTTAGAAGTTATCTCTTTTTAGAGTCATGTAGTGTAAAAGTATCAAGGGGAAGACCCCATTGAACCTGGAGAAGAGTCATGGAAATGGATGTACAGAAAAGACATGGAGTGACATCTAGCGACTAGCCTAGGATAGGGAAATGTGGAAAGTGTTTGTTCGTGGGCTATATCCTGATTCAGGGTGAGAAAGGCAATGATGATGAATGTAAAAGTGACACTAAATTTTTTGTTAGTCTAGTAAAGTAAAAGTAGCTTTTCGAAGCTTGTTACAAGAGTAATATAAAAGTGAAGCAGAAATGATATGAGGAAGTCTGGTTCATTTTCCTTGCTTTTGAGGGAAAAAATACCCATGTATCCGAAATCGAGATATTTGCAATTGAACGAATGATGTCGCCAGGTGTCAAGAAATAAATTGTGAGAAAATGGCCACTAAAGTTGACCAATTTCCAAAGCTGTATGGAGTGTCCTTGAAGACTGTAAATTTATATTTTTTGTGTCTTTCATTAACATTTTAAAACTTTTTTCAGTATAATCCACGCAGATTGTGTTTTTAAAAAGACATAAAAGGTGCTGAACTCAAAACAAAAAAAATTGAAAGGAATTTACCTAAGGGGAAGAAAAATGTTGTTGTCTTCTTCGGTTTCACTATTTTAATGAGCACCTGACTTCACCTCGATGCTACACATGAAAATTGTGTGTCTTATTGAGTAAAAAATTAAACCACACAACGAAAACTGACCACTCTTTCCATCGACTAACAGTACGAGTAGAGCCTTCCCCGAGTGACCTTGGCCTGGAGCAAGTTTCCGGCTTCTTACCTGTGGAGTTGATCCTGGTTCACGCCAACCATGGGACCATGTCATTCTTCAAGACTCTGATCCCAATCTTACACAGGGTGGATAAGCTGAAACGGGATCTGGCTGACTTGGTAATGATACTGGTTATTACTTTCCTAATAGAGAAAGTCTGAGTATTATCCTGGGTATTACTTTCCTAATAGAGAAAGTCTGAGCATTATTCTGGGCATTACTTTACTTATAGAGAAAGTCTGAGCATTATTCTGGGCATTACTTTACTAATAGAGAAAGTCTGAGTCTGAGTATTATCCTGGTTATTACTTTTCTAATAGAGAAAGTCTGAACATTATCCTGGGCATTACTTTACTAATAGAGAAAGTCTGAATATTAGCCTGGGCATTACTTTACTAATAGAGAAAGTCTGAGTATTATCTTGGGTATTACTTTACTAATAGCAACGAAAGTGTGAGTATTATCCTGGGTACTACTTTACTAATAGAGGAAGTCTTGAACTATGCCCAGTTTCTTAACTCTTCAACTCAGTTTTGCTCTATTTGAGAGACAATGCGGGTGGGTGGCGAGTGCTTTAGTGTGGTTTACTCCTTCTTATCCATCAAACATTTAGCATTTTGATCTCTTCTCCTTTTTTTTTTTGTGTATGTTACTCTAACACCTCTAATCTTCAGCACTTATATGACCTTATTGTGTTGCAAGTGCTGTAAAATTCTTACTAAAACTAAAATGAGAGACAAGGCCTCTGAATTCCCACCTGCTTCGAAGTGCAACATGACGGAAACATGACGGAAAACTACAACATGTCTATCTTGTACCAACAGCTGTGTTTCTGAAACAGACTGAGGTCTTGGTTGTCCACAATGATGTAATGACCCCTAGTTCTCGTTTGTGACTCTCCAACGCTAAGATACCCTTGGCATATTGGTTCGGGTGTATTATAACTCTTTGAATCCGGCTCGCCACTTCAGTGTTATTTTAGTTTTTTACTCTGCGTTTCAGCAGCTCACCACTTAAGTAGCGTTTCAGAGTTAGCGATTTCATTAAACCCCAAGATCTACTACATTTGCTATGCATTTTCACTCATATTTTGAGAATCAAAATCTAATTATGAATAGTTGGAGTGCTCACTCAAACAAATCCATCAATATTTGACTGAATTATAGCCATTTTAAGGTAACACCCTTCGAGCCTGTGTGTATAAAATTGTGAAATCCCTTGGGTATTGAAAGGGTTAACGATCCTCATGCTTTTGGTACCAGTAGTTGAGGGGGGGGAAGGCATACTAAACATTTCTATCATGTATGTATACCTAATGAAGATTCTTCCTATCTTTATAGGTTTTCTTTGATATGTTTCAATATTGATCTAAGTCATTTCTCTTTTTGATTTTAGGGTGCTAAGCATAGAGTTTTCTAACATGTTGCACTTGTATTTGCCACAGCTTTGTCTTCGACCTGATCAACAAGACTGGTACTTCAGAGGGAAACTGTTGCAGGACAGCAGTACACTTTTTCAGTGTGGAATTAAGAAAGACGATAAACTGACCGTTAAAGAGAAGGTCCTGGAGGTTGAGGAGGAAGAAGAGAGTCAAAATGAAGCCATTGGTGGTCCTGAATGATTTTTGTACACGATTTATTGCTGGGTTTTTTAGGAGAATTACCCAATGAGCTGCTTTTGTTTTGAAGGTGTTATGCTCTGGCTGGGGAACCAGAAGAAACGGGTCGACTATTTTTTGTTTGTTTTTTAGACCATTGCTGAGGTCCTCAAGAAAAATCAGGAATCAGCGTGCACAATAGAAGTACAGTAGTCTCCGCTTAAACGCACGCCATACAAAAGCACGCTCCGCTCAAACGCCCGCTTTCTGCATTTGACAAATTTTTTACGATATAATTATGACGTACAAACGCACGTTCACTCCCTCTAAACGCACGCTCCGAGCTGCGAAACACGCCGACGGGTAAAGCTTGACAAAGGGACATTTTCACTATAACCTGCACAGCCTGCGTTAGTAAGACAAGCCTAGAAAATTGGTGAGCGGGCCCCTCTCGCCAAACAAAGAGAGTGATGGACAGTGTTTTCATTTCCAACTTTCCACTGACCCTTAGATCTAGATTTAGAGACCTAGGACTGGTCGGTGAAAAGTTTGGGGGGGGGGGGTGAATGGGGGCAGGGGACTGAAATGTTTTTTGATTGGTCACTGGAAATGTATCTTTGAGAGAAGGTTTCTGACTGGGGTTCTAGTGACTGCGTGTAATGTTTTGTTAGATCTAAATCTAGGCCTGATGTGCGACACCCGTAAATGCTGTAAAACACTAGATCTAGACAGGATTAAAGATTAAACAAGTAGATCGAAGCCTAATCAGCTGCGCTCGAAGAACTTTTAATGTACTTGTTCAACTAATCACAAGAGAAAGTTTCTCTGAATGAGAGAATGATTCTGCATGAATTTACGGTTGCGGCTGGTTGCCTGTAAAGCCACGTGGCCGATCCATCGTTTCTATGACTAACACCAACAGTTTCCTCTTAGACTATCTGTTCCCGACGTTTATAGCGCATATTTACTACATTGAGTCTGTCTTTCTCCCCCTCCCCCATGTATTTTAAACCCCAGTCGGGGAATCCATCACAAAAGTCACATGTCGTCCCATTATCTGCCAAAATGACCCCCTCCCTCCAAGGGAGGTCACTGGAGTAATAAGGAATTGAGATGACTGCGTCCCTTCCTCCCCTTTCACAGATTCATGTAAACGCATGCTCCGTATAAACACACGCTAAGGAGCCCTCCCGAGCACCGTGCGTTTAGGCGGAGACTACTGTAGTATGGTGAGCTATTATTTTAGTCTAATCTCGTCTTTCGAAGTAGAAGGATTCTTCTTGCCGTTTCGAAAAATGTTCAAGAAGCTAGTTACACTGTCAGATTAGTTTCTTCTTTTTCGTTTGTTTGTTTCTCAAAGAGAGTAGAGGAAGTGCCCATCAGCAATCTTTTTTGTGATTTTGCCTCTTTGCTTATCTCTATCATTTCCTGGCTTCGCAAAAAAGGTGATTCACTGTATCTCTATCAACAAGCTTTCAATGGGTGGCTCAGAAAGATCATGTGCTTTTGTTTATTTGGATGGCTGTAAAAGGTCATACACTTTCGAAATGGTACTGTACTCTGGTGTACAAATACTTGAACTGATCAGAACTGCAACGTTTGTTCAGAATGTGCCTTAGCTTGAGTTATGTTTGTTAGCCTAGTTTAATGTTTATAGTCACCAAAATATGAACTTTTCTGCAACAAATATCTGAACTGTAACTGACTGGTTCAAGCTGTGTGTTTAACGCATCAATTGGAACATCAAGTTAAAAGTCTTTTCTCAGTGCAGTTGATGCACTTCAGTTCCCTTGTCACCACACCACCTCAAAGTAAGCTAACAGACTGTCCTTGTGGTGTAGTGGTTAGGCACTTCAGCGTCGCAGGCAGGCAGGAGACTCTCGATCAATTCCCATGTGGGGAGAATTTTTTATCAAGCTTCTCAATCTCTGGTTTTTTTGCTGGGGTGTTGCCTCTCTCTCAGCCTTGGTAGGCCCTGGCAGGTAGAATTGAAGCCCACATTCTAAATGATCTAAATTGTGTGGATAGTGGTGTAAAAAAACTCCTAACATTTAAATGAAAAAAAGAAAAGAAATTTAAAGCGTACAGACTGCTGGCGGTCTTCTGGTTGCTAAGTGTCGACGGATCCGAGCATGACCTGGGAGGTCTTGTTCTTCTTCTTCCCCATGCGACCAGCCCTTGATTTGGGCAATAGTGGAAAGACACTGACAAAACTCACATCCTTCCCTTCTCTCACGCTGCTCAGCACACACACGCAGCGCAAGTTAGAGAGAAGCTTGGTGGTTGAAAAGTACCCCCATTAATAAACTGAAAATATTTTTTTGGGGGGTAAAAAACAAAATGACGTGCACTTCTACAGAAATACTTTGTAGTAGCAGTAGTAGAGGTAGAAGACTGGGTTTGTACAGCATATTTCACGTATGTCTAACAGTATGTGATGTTTGCTCTATTGAAAGAGTTGGGTTTTTTTAAACAAGTGTAACAACAGAGAAAATTAGTTGCATTCTTTTTGTTTTTTTCTCCCAAATTTTAACCTTTTCACTGCCTGGCCGGTGACTGTTTTGTCAGGCTGTTAGGTTAGAGTATGAAGCACGCCTTGGAGTAGAAATGCATTCCTGTTTTGTTTATTTTTTATCTTGACGTATACCATAGGAATTCTTTTTATACAAATACAAGGGGTAAAAGTTTATTGTATTTTCTGGTTCAGTCCAATTTTGGGGGGGGGGGGGGATTTTCAGATTATTTTGAAAGACGTTTTCCCACCGTACCTACAGCCATATGCCATCTCACCGTGAACCTTCCTATGAATGACCCCTCATGTGACATAACTTTAGGATTTTTTTTCATACAAAACAATTAGGTCTACAGAGATAACATTTAAAAGCATTTTGTCTACTTTCCTCTTACTAATCTTATTTCTACACCTTTAGACATCTCTAGGACAGTCACTAATACATGTAGCAGGTAATCTAGTTTTGCTTAGTTCAGTCCACCAAGGTTGAGGGGCTTAAGGAAAGATTACAGGACAAATGGAGTGTGGAGGGCAGGGTAGAATTTTGCTGTCACAAAGTTCATCTCTATGAAAACGGCTCACTGCCGTCCACACCAGCGATGTGGGGGGTCAAGAATGTTGGTGGAAATTCAGGGCTGTTGGATCATGGAGGGGGAAAACAACCTTACCAGACTTCTAAAATCAAACCAGAAAAGAAAGTGAACTTTTGAATTATGAAACACACGGAGACATATGCACTTTACACCTAGACCTGATCCATTCTAACGTAAGTCTGGGTCCTGGCAGTGAAAGCGTTATGGTCTTGCTATAATTCTTGTTGTGAGTTCTCTTTTTTGGTGCTAAGTGTGATAATGTTATATGATTGTGTTCTTTTTGTACATTGTTGGTCATCCTTCAGAGAGACTGACGTTGTGAGTGGTTGGCGGGTGCTCTGGTGTGGTTTGCTTCTTCTTACCTATCAAACATCTATCCACTTTATCTCCCCTCCTTCTTTTTTGTGTTTGTTACTCTCTTGTAACACCTCTAATCTTCGGCACTTATATGACATTATTTTGTTGCAAGTGCCGTAAAACACTTACTAAAACAAAAAAAAGACTGACGTTATACTTTTAGTTTTTAGGAAGAGTTTTACGGCCCTTGCAACACAATAAGGTCATATATATAGGTGTTACAAGAGTGTAGCAAACATAAAAAAGAAGGAGGAGAGATCAAGACGATAGATGTTTGATAGGAAAGAAGGAGCAAACCACTCCAGAGCACCCGCCAACCATCCACCGTTATACTTTCACACCAGCTTCGGTGTCACCAAATGTAAATATATTGGATCATATCAAGAATATTTTTACAAACATGCATTTATGGATACTCACACACAGAACAACACACACACACACACACACACACACACACACACACATATACAACCAAGGCCATATAGTGTCCCCACCCCTTCTCTCTCT